AATGATAAGTTAACTGTTATTGTTGACTAGTTTACACTTTAAGAGAATGAAACTGTTTTTTCTCTCATATTACACAAAAGATGGTGGCTAGGTTTTGTGTGAAAAGTTTGCTGCTGATAAATTTATTTTAGAAAACATCATTGACGTAGAACAGTATCAAAATAGATGGATTTGTAACTTTTAGTCAGTCAGTAACAACGTAGAACTTCGTGCGTACGTACATCAGTTCGAGTTGCCATACCACATTAGCACAGAGATGCAGTTGTCGATTCAAATCCCGTAGTGGTAGAGGTAGTAAGAGTATAACCAGTAGTCGGAAACATCAGGGTTTGGAGATGTTATTTAAAGAGTATAATCCAGTGAAATCTATTTGGGAAGAGAAAAAAGAGATAAGGAGGAATCAGGAGATTAGAATTTGGAAGAACACAAAGAGTGGATGCACCTACGCCATTGCAAACGATTTTGAGCCATGTTATTCAGGGTCTCTAACCATCGGTTGCTATCATCTCGCGGTCCCCAACCAGGTAGTCTACACCTACCAACATGACTCAGTTCACTTGTCAGTGACTTCATGGACTTGTGCCATGTTTTGGTCTGACCGTCCCTAGCTTTCTTCCAACCTACTCCTATACCATTGAACATCGCACGTCGAGGCAGTCGGTCGTTGGGCATACGTAACACGTATCCCAGCCATCTCAACTGATGAAGTTTCACCACTTCATCAATCGATTTGCCATCCTTACCTAGTACCCGTTTCCTAACAACTGCGTTACTTACTCGATGGTCCCAGGATATACGAGCAATGTTTCGAAGACACCTATGATCAAATAACAGTAACCTACGAATATCTTCTACTCTTACCGGCCATGTTTCATTGCCATAAAGTAGGACGGAACGAACTGCTGCACAGTAAACACGTCCCTTGGTTGATAGACGGATATCTCGCCTACGCCATAAATGACGCAAGTTGGCGAAAGCTAGTCGAGCCCTCTGTATCCGTGTTGAGACTTCGTCACACACCAGACCACAAGGGCTGATGAGACTTCCAAGATAAGTGAAGCGGTCGACACACTCAACTACTTCACTCCCTATCACTAGTTCGAGTGTCGATGTAACCCAATCTTGAAGCAACATTTTGCATTTCGAGGGGGAGAATCGTATCCCGAACATGCTTCCATTGTTGCTTAGACTGGTCAGAAGACTCTGCATTTTGTCAGCGTCTTCACCAAATAGAACTATGTCATCGGCATATTCCAAGTCAACAAGTGAATCTCCTGGTAGAAGTTCAACCCCTGGAAATCTAGACGAGGAAAGGGTTATCTCTAAAAGTACGTCAATGACAAACTTAAACAAGAATGGGGAGAGTGGACAGCCCTGACGAACACCACATTGGGTAATCAATTCTGATGACAGTTCGCCATAAGCTCTCACTTGAACAGCTGTGTTCGAGTAGAGAGCCTTTACAGGGTTAATGTGCTTCTTTGGTACTCTTTTCAGTGACAAACACTGCCATAGAACCTTACGATCATCAGAGTCGAATGCAGCGTTAACGTCGAGAAATACTACTATTGTAGGGCGTCTGAACGTGTATCTGTGTTCTAGAACCTGACGTAGTGTGAATATCTGGTCTATACAACCACGTCCAGGTCGAAAACCGGCCTGGTTTTCTCTTGTCTGTTCTTCACGAGCTTTAGTTAGGCGTCGAAGTATTATTGGAGCTAATATTTTAGACACTATATTAGTCTAACTGATTCCTCTGTGATTGTCCTTTCCTATAGACTGGCACAATCAGTGATTGAGACCAGTCAGATGGGATTGCGTCCAGTTCCCAAATTCTACCTAAGACCTCAGTTAATCTCACTGCTAATGCTGGACTACCATCCTTAAAAATCTCAGGAGTAAACCTGTCAGGTCCTGCTGCTCTCCCTTGCTTCAGATTTCCTATAGCATTTTCAACTTCATAAAGAGTCGGAGGACTTACATTAACTTGCCATTTAGGTTGACTAGAGATCGTGGGAAACCGAAGTGTGGCTGAAGGCCAGTTGAACTGATCCCTAAAGTGTTCTGCCCATCGATCCAATCTCCTGGATTGAGAATGCATAATATGTCCATCTTTCTCTGAGAGTGTTTCGCTAACAGTCGGGTTCCTTATACCGGTTTCCTTAACGAGTCTGAACAATTGTGTGCTATTACCTATTGCCGCTGCCTTTTCCATCTCTCTTGCTTTCGCTACCCACAACTGTTCACGACCACTGCGTAGGCTTCTTGTCAGCTTGCGCTTAAGCTGACTCCGCTCTTCATTATGTTCAGGGTCAGGTGGAATGAATTTCCGAGCATCTATCAGTGTGATAGATGCTGCCGATATCCAGTGTTGCTCCCTGACCTTACGGTTTACCGTACTAGCAGATATCACTGCTGTTTCCACAGCTTTTCGGATATCATTCCATGCTGCATCGGGGTGGGCATTACATACATGGCTGCCTAACTGTTTTCCTAGTTGTTCCTGAAATATACTCTTAGTTTGACTATCATTAAACAGGTTTCTAAGACGTTCCCTTGCAGCGTCTTTCTTACGTCCAGTAAGACGCAGACAGATACGCGCTCGTACTAGAGCATGATCTGAATCTAAGCATGTGCTCCAGAATGAGCGACAGTCTTCTATCGAGACCCTCCATCGGTGGCTGATAGCGATATGATCTAGTTGGGTCCAACGTTGGGATGAACTCGGGGTCTCCATGTTAAAAGCTGTTTTTCCTTATGCTCCAAGTTAGTGTTTGCAAGAAACAGGCGGTTATCTGAGCATAGCTGCAACAGACGGTCGCCATTATCTGTTCTTTGAGTCACGACACCATAAGATCCACCTAGGTGTCTTTCCCTTTCGCTCAGTTTAACTACTTGAGCATTAAAGTCACCAGCCACTATTACTACATCGGAGCGCCTAGCTTTTCGGAGAAGTTCGGAGAGCTTTCTGTAAAACTCATCTTTTACATCATCTGAGCTGCAGTCAGTCGGAGAATAGGCAGACACGACGAAGAGGCAACGACGAGTGTCCCTATCTTTCTGAGTCCTTATTGTTCCGTTTGGTCGGACAGCGCACAAACGACTGTCTACTGGGATCCAGTCTAAGAGAGCTAGTTTTGCCCTAGGACTCAGTGCTATACTTACGCCGGCGAGTCCACGAGAAGCAGCGTCAGGGCTTCCAGATACACGAAGTGTGAATCGAGTTGGTTCTTTATTTTGAAATGGTGAGGTCAAATGAATGACGCTACTCGGGTCCTGAATACACGTTTCGGAGATGCAGCACACATCGATGGCGCGAGATTCTAAAGTCCTAGCTAACGAAGCCTGTTGTCCTATTTGGCACAGTGTTCGGACGTTAAAAGCTCCTACGTGTAGTTTAGAGCGTGGTTTCAGGAGACCAGGAATAGTGTTCCGCGTACTCGAATCGTTTGCCCTAGCGGTGTGAAGTGATAAAAGGATGTGAGAAGGGTTAATCGGGGAGATAAGAGAGGTACTAGGTGTAGGAAGGATTTGAATGTGATCAACTTGGTCTCGTGTGTTGTTACGGGTATGAGGGCTGGTGTCACTTCCCGGCTACCCACACTGTGGAAGGGTATTTCTTGAGGAATTTGAAAAGGAAGTCGGATTAATGTCGGCCTTAACGACCCGGGAGCGTGACCGCAGAGCCCACGGGACAACTGCTTGAGGCCGGTCGCGCACGGCCTTTTTGTGGGAGGTTTTTGATGTGTTAGCCCCGTTCTTCAAAGGGCCTTACCACCGGAGACGGAAATCCGTGAGGTAAGGTGAGGTGTGACATTTTTAGGGTCGACCTTTTCTAACCCCTTCCTTCCTTGTGGGAAGGCAGCATCGCTGCAGATACTGGTTGTCCGAGGGAAACACCTTACTGCTGTCACAACTCTCTACAGTCAGCAGTACGACTTCGCCCTCAGACCTTGAGTCGCTGCTTTTATTCTTACCGTTCTCCAATCGACCTGCCTGGCATGGTAGAACCTACAGGAACATATGTTCTAGCCAATATAGCTCGGTTGGGTCATCACGATAGGTAAAAATCATCACGAGATTCATTCTTGGATGTCGATTCTGTTTGTATGTACTAATTCATTTTATAATCACGACTAGCTAGTGTAAGCGATCTGTGCCACAGTAGGTACTCGATAGAATGGTGAATTCCCCCGGTGCCCAATTTACAAACTGCATATCACTCAGTGAAGCACTGTCATTGAAGAAGTACAAATTTCGCCGAAAAAAACTAACTGAATAGCTATTAGCTTACGATACCGTATCAGAAAACAAAGTGAAACCCGATGGCCATTTTGTTGATGTTAATCGGTTTCATATTCAAATGAAAGTTTCACAGGTTTGAGATATCAAATATGCGTCTGTCAATCAGTTATCTTTGATATATAATAAAACGATCAAATAATTTAGTTTTTGTGTATTCCTAAACTTGATTTTCTTGAATTTCATTTATTTAACTTTAGATTTACATTAGAAAGTTTTGTTCATTTAAGTGATATTAATTCAATAGTAATACTGAAGAATTTCTATAGGATTATTCTGCTCTTATGGTTTAGATCAAATGGGTGAGTTTAGATTTAAATGATCTCCGCATTTTGATTCAAGGTTTGAAATTCCAACCTTTGAGGTTGATATTCAAGAAGATACTTCATATGGTAAATGTTTGATTGTTTAACTGGAGATGTTTAGTACAGTCCTATCTAGGATTTTGGGTGTCCACTGTTGAGGAGGGCAGACTGCATCTGATTCTGCTGTTTCTCGCATTAACATCGGTTTCTGATAGAAACTATCCTTAAATTGAACTACGGTCCACCTAACAAACAAAATATACGTATGTTTGTATCAACCATTATTAGCTATTCATTTAAAATTTTTTACAAAAATCTAACCTACTTAAGTTTCACTCGTGTTCGATAAATAGGGTGGAGATAGATAGCATAGTAGTCAAGTAAACTGTTACATTTTTATTAGCCAATCATCTTAAAGTAATCAAATTATAATATATTAAATTAAATGTACTATTTCATTAATTTAGAAAATCATACATTTTAACAGAGAATAATAATAATAAAGTATGAGAGTAGAGAAAGGAACTAAACACTATCTGATCACTGAATTATGTTATAATAGTGACTATTCTAAAAATTTGTTCAATTATCATCTAGTTACTTCAGCAATTCGTATTACATACTAACTTATTGAAATGCCATGTATACGTGATCCATTTCCATGGTGGTTGCCATTAGCTTTATCATGTTCCATTGTATTGATCACAATATTCATAGGTATATTTCGTTGGCTATACAAAATTTATTCACGACATAAACGTCTTAAAATTAGATCATCACGACAACTCATACAATATAAACAATTATCACCAATGTCCATTGATAATCAACGTACTTTAAGTCTACAGAGTACAAACGATGATGTAACAGATGATTATCCAAGTTTATTTGCCGATCATAAAGATGATCAAGAATTTGATGAATTTACTGAATCTGAGGAAAATATTGATTCAATGCATAAAAACTGTTCACCAAGTAGATATTTAATAAATCGTAATAAGAAATTACGTCGCATTAAAACAATGAATAGCAAAAAACCTGATATATCAACATTACCAATAATTAAGATTAATCATATACATCTGCCTCACCACCACCAACAACAAGAGCAACAACAAGAAGAACAACCACATAAACCGTTATTACACAAGAGTAATAGTGTGAATTCATCAAAAACACCTTTATCTGATTTACAATCATCTCCATCCTGTTTGGAAACACAAAGTGATACAACATATATCAATGATTTTTTCACTGTAAAACCAACAAATAATGATATATTACTGTCGGAAAACTCGACTCCATCTTACTGGGAAGAATCAGTTCAATGCAATTGGTTTGTTAATTGGTTTAAGTATACTCGTTTAGGTATGTCAGCTAGACAACAACTGAATATGAAATTATACTGTGAACGATTTACTACAGTTTCATATCCAGCTGGTAAAATAATGGTTAGTGGGAATTTTATTTCGAACTCTTTCTTCATAGTTTTATTTATGATGTATGTTTTTATGCTTTTTTTGTACATGCGACTTAAGAAGTTATTTGTCATTTGGTAATAAGTGGATATAATACAAACTTTTAACATAACGTTGAAATAACTCAGAAACGATTTTGATTATAGTCATAACTAAAGTCAAGAAAATTTTAATCTTATAACACATCATTGTGAAACAAAAAATATTTATCCAATGGTAAAGATAATTACCAGTATAAGATTGTGGGGATTGTTGAGCTTTTAATTGAGATCGTAAACCTATAAGTGTTAGATCACCATTGAAAACCTGGAAGCACAGGATGGTCGTCTTGTCTTGATATGGAACTCGTTAAAAGTGCGCATCCACAATCCCACACACGGGAATCAAACCCAGGATCTTCGGTTTCGCACGAACGCCTAACACCATCGGAACGCGGCTCAGTGGTCTGGATGTTAAACGTTCACACACGAGACCGAAGGTCCTGGGTCCGAGTTCCGTACTCGTGGTCGTGGATGCGCAATTCTGGGGAGTCCCATACTAGGACGAAACGACCGTTCAGTGATTGCTGGTTTTCAATGGTAGTATTACATTGATCAGTTAATGATCTCAATAAAAGACAATTATGCTGAGCAAAGTATGAGTGCATGAATTATTTGAAAGTGTGATATTTAAAAAAAAGTTTCAGAAATTACTTCAAATTTCATAACAAAAATCTGCTAAACTTGAAAATAAGAACTACGTGATAATGATTCAGTGGTCATTAGATATCCCGTTCATTGTAAAACAGGCAGGTCCTGATTTTTATCGAGTGTAAATTGTAAATCCACATTAATGAAAGATCTAAAACTATACAGAAACATGCATTTGGTTGTTAGTTTCAAATTAAAACCTTCACTATGCAATATTTAACAGTTATATTAAGTGTTGTCATTGGTTTGATGAACTGAGGTCGCTGTCACATTTATTTTATATATTCAAAGTATTGAGTATATTAGTGGTATGTATGTAAATTACATTCACCTACCTTTAAAATTATTCTTGAAAGATATAAGGTAAAAATATCTAAGTCAGTATTTTAATATATTTTAAGCCTTTTCTTATGGTAATATTTGATCAGTATGGTGGTTACCAAAACTTATAACTTTAGTGCTTTAGACAAAGCAACTCTGGATTGGAAAGAATTTAGAATTGCAAAAATGAAAGATCAAAGTTTGGACAATGCGTTTTTTAGTTAAGATTTTTCTATGGGTGGAGTTGCCGACCCCATGGCCAACCCTCCTCCTATGCCCGGGATTCAGACCGGCAGTAACTCTAGAAAAGCTACAGGCGGAGTTGCATTTATATCTAACCAAACTAATATTAATCATCATAAATTAGTAATTTACGTAACTTGAAAACGATCAGTGTCCATTATAGACGAATCGGTCATTTATAACTTTATCATAGTAATAATAATCATGTCAAAATATTATGTATCAGTGACCTTTATTCATTGGATAAAGTCATATCTAAATAGATGATCATGTTTAATTATGACCCACTTTGATGTATAACTTACCCAGCTTGTAAATGTTAACCATAAAATGTGAAATAGAATGTACAAGTATTTGGAATTGATTAAAATATTAAAATATCTGGCAAGTCAGAGCTATTTTTTCAAGAAGTGATTTTACCAAACTATTAAAGTGAGAGTATAATGTTTTTAAAGTCACAAAAACCAACGAGATCGAGACGTACATTATGAGAAGTTATATCTACACATATAATCCATAAAAAAAATTAAGAAGGCACAAATACCAATCAATAATATGGTCAGTGTATAAGTTTCGTTTAACTGAAAATCGAGGAGCTTCAGGATATGGGAAGATGTTAGATTTAATTTTAGTATGCACTTATGAAAAGTTCGAAATTATACTGAAAAAGATTAACAAAACTCCCTGGTTTTCAGTGGTCATCCAGACATTTGTGAAATAAAGCTTGTCAAATCAACTAATTCCATATGTTTATCGTACTCGAAATAAAAATTCGAATAAATTTTACTCTATAAGCATCCTTTAGAATTGAATAAGTTTAAATATCTAATCCACCTTCATCTGGTTGAACCAACCCTATTTTTTATAAGACACGAGTATTTTCTTATAGATCTAATAACTTTGTGATATATAGAAAAGAGATTGTTGTGCTCATTTATATCACTCCTATAACTTTGATATGTCAAGTAAATAAGGTTTCTTTTTCGATGTTTTATAAATGACCAAAGTTTTTCTCAGTTAGATTGGTATCCTGATCCTTACCGGCATAAAAACATATGGATGATGTAATAATCAACTGAAGCAACCATTTAATGTTAAATAGCTCACCATCGGGCAAAACGTAAATTATTTAAGTTGTCTAGTTACTTTCAGTTAATTAGTACTAACCAGAACAAAAATAATACCAACTGAATTCATGTGAATTATTTTCCAAAATCTTAAAACTGACTAATACTTGAATGATAAATAGCATTAGTTAACATTCAAGAAGAGACAAGACAGATAAAGTAATACCTAAAAACGACTATTTTCCGTAAAAATAAGAATTAAAACCAAATAGTTTACGAAAATAAATCAGAATCCATTCAAAACTGGAATTCCAATTTTGCCATGACAATTGTGAAATAAATTCGTGACAGATATCGTAGTAAATTGTTAAATTATTTAAAAGTGTTTTTTTCTATGTAGATTAAAGTAAATTAGAAACAACAAGTTCAAATACGTTCACCGGATAGTGAATTTATATGAACTGATAATCCAATTGCTTAGATAAATACCTAAAATATAGTTTGGTTGGATGTATCACTAAATAATTTGTTTGAATTGCCTTTATATTAAAAACATTTTGTTGACCACTGTTCAGTTTGTTGCTCTGTAGAATCCTAGTTAACCGTGAGGTAAACATAATGTTAAACAACATTTTACTCTTTCAAGTTATCTACATTTTGCTCACATTTTTCCTAGAAAACAATGAATTATGATATAACTAAATATCCGATTTAAAAAAATTCCAACTTTTATGAATAATTAAAAATTTCAGCTGTTAATGAGATAATAACTGGCAAAGTTTTCAATTATGTCATAAGGCTAAACTAGTTAGACTTGGAATTTTCTTTATTTTAACTACACACACTAATATGATTGTTATCATTGATAATCAAAGTTTTAGTATTCATGAACACATATTTTAGTTTATAGCTATCGTTTTTCAGTATAAAATAGCTTGTAACTGTCTAGTTTACTGTGTATCATTTAATAAAATAATGCAAATAACGAAATTACAAATAAATGGTTTCATTGATGTAAATAAACACTGTGAGTGACTAAAAACTATAATATTTTATGACTGAAAAACACGCATTAATTTTTTTCTGATTTTAAATAACTGTTGGTTGAATGTTTTCGCTCTCTATACAAGTCTCTGCCAATTATGCTAGATTGTGATAAAAACTACTTTCCATTTTACATATTATGTCTAGACAATTAGTAAATCCGCTGATTATCTAGCATGTAAAAGATGCAATACCTAAATTGTTCTCAACAGAGAGAAAATCCACCGAGTGTTGTCTTACACATTAAGGCCTGTATTAGGCTCTGTTAGTGCTTTTAGTTCAAACTACACGTGTATTTGGTCAAATAAGTAAGAAAAACTCAAGTCACCTAAGATACTCGATATTTAAGAAGAATGCAAATGTAAATAATTCTTTCGAGACATATTTCAAACGTTACCACTACACAAAGTCGATAATTATTTAGGTTAGGCTCTTAATATCCTGATTAACATGTAACAGTACCCCATAGTGAAACGGACTTTAATAACAGATTGGACAAGTATAAGAATACTAAAGCCCTTAAAAACTCTGAAATATTGTCAGTAATGATATATAGATGTGCTTATCAATAGTACGATTCGACTAAGAAATATCTATGAATCTGAAAAAACATATACAGGATCATAAACAATCCTGAGTCTTCAAATCTACCAGGTTGAAAAAGATTGATACAAATATTAATTCTAAACACCCATCGCTAATTTATGTCCAAAAAATACCTTGAGTGTGAACTGTAGTTGTTCGCAATGAACAGTTTTCGCAGTCAAGATATAATTTTTGATCTCAGCTAGATTGGAAACATTATTATAAGTATAAAGTGTGGTGATAATTTTAAGCGCGATTCATCTGTTTCACGAATGAAATACAAGAGTTGAGGCCAGTTTTAGTGAAATGTTTATGCAGTTTTTGTAAACCAAAAATAGTTCCACTATATATATATATATATATATATATATATATATATATATATATATATATATATATATATATATTCTTCTTGTAATCTACAAGGTGGTTACATTCAAAAAGTTATATTTTTCGTTATGTCATAATTCTTGTTTTAGTGTGAGTTAGTTTAATAGTTGCTGTAAAAAATTGTGGCATCATAGATATGACTCAAACAATAACAAACCCTCATCATCGATGTTATAACTGTGAAATTGAATTTCAAAAATAAAAAATGTGATATTTGCACGACCTAAGGATGAAAATTAAAAAAAAACTGATGACAGATAAAGATTTCATTCACCTTTCAGAAATCACAACAGACTCTTTAGCCGAATATATTCACCTAAATATATATTGTGGGAATAAGGGATGAATTTTACACTGAGTTATTGCAAAATGTCATCTATGTTATACTGAACAGATATTAAAGTGAATTAGTACAAATGAATGTTAAACTGAAAAAAAATATGCCGAAATGGAACACGATTTTGCATTTTATCCCGTTCTAACAATAGGCATATGATACGGCGAGAATAATTTCTTATAAGATGTCTAAGATAAATTGTAAATACTTTTAAATTGTGAATTGTTTAACTGAGTTTTAATATATTCTCTTGCGCTCTCAGATAACCTTAACGAGTATTAATTTTGTTAATGCATC